AGTTAAGAGAGGTGTGAGGCAATACATTTGGGAAGGACAAACGTGAGGGAATAAACAATCAATGATAAGATACTGGAAAGTTTAGAGAAACAGAGAGACCTTGGTGCGCACTTTGTTATGGATAGGGGGGATGGTAGTGGGATAATTTTCCCCTTTCTCTTTACTTTTTGTTTTCTATAATGAGATGTATTTTAAAGGAATGTTTTAAACGTTTTTGGGTAAGTTTTTAAACAAGAGTAAAACATCATCTTAATTCATACCATATCCTGAAATGCAAATGTAACAAAACACACTAACCCACCTCATGCATTCAAATTAACACACAGCTAAAGATGGATTCTAGAGAACAAAACAAATGGTTAAATTATTAACAGAATGCAAGAAGTATATTGGGTTCATATTAAGCCCTTTTAAGGTGTACACCATACAGCCCTGGAAAAGTTCATACTCATAGTTCTTTGGAGAAGAATGGGAGTTGGCAATCTTTGGATTTCCAGACGAGATTATGGCCAAGTTTCTCTAGGAAACAAATTCGTCCCCCTCACATTGCCTGAGTTGGCTGGTTGTTAGACAAGGCTGTGTTCTTTTTAGGTCAAGAAAAGGTCCCTCTAGTGCAGTGTGACATGATCAATACTTGAAATATCCACCCAGAATGATTTAAAACTAATATCTGTTGCTGCACATGGATTATGGTGTTTCACATCCACTTATGATTACATTGGTTTCTTTACAGCTTTCATTAAGTTTTGAGCTCAGAGACAGCAAGTCTAGGATTCCATAGATTGAGAGTCTTGTGTAACTTGCAAACAAAAAATGGTGTAAACTCCACAAATGGTTTACTTCCTGATGTATTCAAGGGATGGTACCCAACACACATTCAGAAGCATGTTCAGACATGAGTTAATCTTTTGTACAGAAATGAATTAGGTTATCTGACCACCACTGGCCACCTCGGATCAATGTCCCTATACTACACTGTTCTTTTAAAATTACATAACATCCATTGTCTGTACATTTCCAGGCATATGACACAAGTGTGACAGTGCCACAGGGATCAGTGCTGGGTCTTCTGTTGCTTATCATTTATATAATGATTTGGATGAGAATATAGGAAGCATGGTTAGGAAGGTGGATGAAGCCAAAATTAGTGGTGTAGTGGACTGTGAAGAAAGTTATCTAAGAGTACAATGGGCCGAGGAGTGCAGAAGGCGTATAATTTAGATAAATTTGAGGTGTCGCATTTTTGTAAGACAAACCAGGGCAAGACTTACACAGTTGCTGGTAGGGCCCTGGGAAGTGTTGTCAAACAGAGAGACCCAGGGATGCAGGTGCATAATTCCTTGAAAGTGGCATCACAGGTAGACAGGGCAGTAAAGAAGATATTTGGCATGCTTGCCTTCATTGGTCAGAGCATTGAGTATGGGAATTGGGATGTCATGTTGCGACTGTGCAGGACATTAATGAGGCAACATTTGGAGTACTGTGTACGGTTCTGGTCACCCTGCTTTAGGAAGGATGTTATCAAATTGGAAAGAGTGTAGAAAAGGATGTTATCGGGACTGGAGGGTTAGACTTAGAGGCTGGATAGTCTAGGATTTTTTTCTCCTGGAGGGTAGGACGTTGAAGATTGATCTTATAGAGGTTTATAAAATCATGAGAGGCATAGATAAGGTGAATAGCAAAGGTCTTTTCCTTAGGGTAAGGGAGTTCAAAATTAGAGGGCATAGATTTAAGGTGAGAGGGGACAGATTTAAAAGGGACCTGAGGGGCAACTTTTTCACACAGAGGATGTGTATGAACTGCCAGAGGAAGTGGTAGAGGCAGGTACATTTGCAATATTTAACAGGCATTTGGACAGGTACATGAATAAGAAAGGTACAGAGGGATATGGGCTAAACACAGGCAAATGGGACTAGTTTGTTTGGGAAACCTGGTCAACCTGGACAAATTGGACCAAAGATCTGTTTCCGTGCTATATGACATGATTCTGAATGTAGCATGATTGGTCAATAAAGGGTTAAGAAGGCAACTTGCATATTTTTCTTTATTAGCTGAGATGAGTATAAGAACAGAGAGATTGTGCTAGACCTGTGTAAAATGCTAGTTAAATCACAGCGACAGTACTGTGTAAGTGCTGGTTACCATATTACAGGAAGGATATGATCACTGTAGAGAATGTACAATGAAGATTTACAGAGAGATGTTACCAGAACTGAGGAATTTTAGCTAAAAGAGAAACTTGAATATGCTGGAGTTGTTTTTGCAACTTGAGAAAGCTGAGAGGAGAGGTAATTGAGTTGTACAGAGGCTTAGATACAATGGATTGACAAAACAAAAGCCCTTAACAGAGAGGCTCATAAATTGCAAGGGCATGGATGTAAAGTGATTTTAGAAAAGTTAGAGGGAAATTGAGAAATGTTTATCATCCAGAGGTTGAAGCAGGTCTGAATCGTACTGTTTGAGAAGGTGGTATAGGCAGAAACACTCATTCTATTTTAAAAAATACTTGGGATATTCACTTGAATTGCTAAAACTGACAAGGCTTTAGCCTAACAGTTGGAAAATTGGATTAGACTCTTAAGTTAGTCTCTCAGAGCACCTTCTCAGCTGAAATGGGCCAAATGGCGTCCTTCAGTGGTAGTTTTCTATACTTGTAAGTAAACCGTGCTCTGAGTAACTTAGTCTAAGAGGAGCAATTTAGCTGAATTTGAATAATTTTTATTGTCACATGTATTTACAGTAAGAAAAACGGTAAAATACAGTGAAAAGCTTTGCCACAGTCACCGTGATCTGATGTCATTTAGAATAGTTTAAGAACAAGAAAAAGAAAGGATCTAGCTTAAAGATAGTCAGTCAGTCCTGAGCCAGCTCATCATCAATAACACCTGCACCACCTTCTCCACCGTCGACACCAGACCCAACCAACATTGACATCGCCACTCTCCACGCACCATCTTTCACCACTCGGCTGATTGTCCTCCGCCACCGCCTCGCTGCTGCTTGAACTGGACCCAGCAATATCAGGGTTGCACCTCCCGCCACTAGGACCACCTCTTCGATGTCACCATGATGCCCTTCCGCCACCACTAGTGCCGGACCCAACCAATGACAAAGTCAGCGATTCCTTAGCAGTTCTGTAGAAGGGTGATTGAACCCAAAATGTTAACTCTGATTTGTCTCCACAGATGCTGCCAGACCTGCTCAGTTTTTCCAGCAGTTTCTGATTTTCAGCAGTCCTTTCAGTTAGTTGTTTATCATAGAATCCCGACAGTGTGGAAACAGGCCCTTCAGCCCGACAAATCCACACTGACCCTCAGAGCATCCCACCCAGACCCATCCCCCTATAACCAACCTAATCTACATATCCCTGAACACTACATGAAATTTAGCATGGCCAATCCACCTAGCCTGCACATCTTTGGACTGTGGGAGGAAGCCGGAGCACCTGGAGGAAACCCACACAAACACAGGGAGAACGTGCAAACTCCACACAGACAGTCGCCTAAGAGTGGAATTGAACCTGGGTCCCTGGCACTGTGAAGCAGCAGTGCTAACCACTGAGCCACTGTGACCAGATCCTATCTTTGTAGACATTTCTCACAGCATAGTTTAACCAAATAATAACTGACTATTTATAGTACTTATTCTCTTTTTTTTAATTTGTATTTTTTTCAAGGAGCAGTTATTGGAGGGCCTGTTTGTTGTGGATGGGAAAGAGTGTTGACTGCAGCAAAGATTATTATGGTTATGTGTAGAGGTTACATCCTTTTTATAAGGAGTTCCTTGAGCAGGAAGAGATATGTGGCTTGCAGATTTCAATGGATCAGGATAAAAGGCTTGAAGCATCTGGTCTAGTTTTGTTTCTTTTTTTATTGAAGTCGTCATTAAAGTTGTGTGAAATAAATTAGTGGACTAGAACTTATTGAGGTAATTAGGAAAATTACAATTGGTTTATTGTGAGCACATTGTGTGGGTGTGTTTTGTATTTGCTTTAATTTTGATTGTAGCTAAATGTTATCATATAGTGTAATTTGACAACATAGTTATAACTTTGCACTAAACACATAAATTAGAAATTACTGGTTTTCAAGTTAAGGTATATTTGTTTCTCAAGCAATTTAATCTATTTTCATGGCAGAAGACCAGCTTAATTTCCAATCCTTATTCAAATTTTTCAGACATAACCTGTTTTTTCCCTTGGAATTCTCAATAGCTGAGATCCACGTTTTAATCTCCATCACTGTTTCAATTTACCTAAGAATAAAGGCCATTCTAGAAAATTTAAACATGATTTGGGATTTTTCATCTGAAATTTAAATGTGTCTTATTGTTTGCTAATTATTGGTTGATGTATTGGTTGCCTCCAAATACCATTCATTCAATCTTGTCGATCATGTATAGCGCTGATATTAACACTTCCAAATGTGTTCATTTAATGTCTTATTAAAGAACCTGTGAAATGTTGTAATTCACTGTCATATTACTTGTTTAGGGGTCAGGACATAATCTACTAACAAGGGAGGAGTATAGATAAAACTCATATCGTGTGTTTTAATTGAAGCTTCACTACTTGCATGCAACAGTCTGTAAAGTTAGTGTGATTCGCACATTTAAAAAACATACCGCAGACCTAAATCATGACAAGTTCTATGTATTTTCATATGTTCTTAACTTGTTAAATAAGAGCTTTCTAACATTGCACAGCACTTGTGCAAGTTAGGCTAAAATGACTGCACACTTAAAAATTACAGAAGAACACTTAACAGAGTAGCACAATATTTGTCTACTTGCTCTTTTACTGGAAGCATTAACTCCTGTAAATTGAAAGGATTGCCACCTGCATTAAAACAGTCATCAAGAATATTTCCTGAAAATGCTAATTGATCATCTATTAATACCAGCAACAGGTCATTTTAGACTTGTATGTACTTTCCCTCATAAGTTATAGGTTTCTTTTGTTTCAACACTACTGTTTCACATCCTGATGATTGCCTTTGCAGCTGTCATGGCATTCCTCTTTGATCTTAAAGCCTTGGTGGATATGATGTCTATTGGGACCCTCCTGGCATATACGCTGGTAGCAGCATGTGTACTCCTCCTCAGGTAAGTATTTATGCCTCTGTAAATATCTCCTACCTTTCATCACTGTGATCAGGACATTCTGATTTATACACATTGATGGGTCATGACAAGTCCATTTTAGTTTGTGCAATTATTTCTATATTTTGTGAGCAAGATCTCCTTTGGCAAGAAAATGTTCCTTGTTTGCTCGGTTAATTAACCTTAAAGGTAGTCAGAAGCAGCATCCATTTACAGGCTTAGTGTTCTTGCAGCATCTCGCACGATGCTCAGGCTAACCATATAACCTGTCACCCACTCACATACTAAAAAAGACAGATTGTTGGAGAAGTAGGATAGTAGAAGCAAAACACTTAAAATGTTTCAATATTGGCTCAAATATGTGGATTGGATAGAAAATAAGCTTAGCACAATTCAAAAAAAAGCCAAGGCTCAAACTGAACAAGGGTGTTTTCTTTAAGGTGCCAGAGGGTCTCTGATTCTTCTGGAACTGTGACCATCACAAACCTTTGACAGAATATAGAAGGAAGAATTAAAACTAAGAGGAATCTTATTTATACTTTAAATGGCTGATTACTTGGTTTACATTGTGAAAGTCAGGTTGAAGATGGTATTGAAATTAAATGAAGGGTACAACAAAAGAGCATATCATCAGACTTCTGGGGGAATCTTGTGGGTCTCGGTTCAAGTCCCACCTGTTCCAGAGACGTCATAACATCTCTTAAGAGGTTGATTTGAAAATATCTGCACTCAGGCTTCTTTTTGTAGAATCTGGATATGTACTTTTCTTGTTTTCTTAAATGAACTTATGCTGTTTAAATTTTGTTTTTAAAACTTGCTAGGTATCAACCAGATTCACTCTATACAAGACAAAAATGCTCTTCAGAAAGACAGAACCTCACAGCTGAGGAGGACGGTGAATTAGATGAAAATGAATCCAATTCCCATATGACCATGTTCAAAAATCAAGACTTCACCTGTTCATCGTTGCTGAATCCCTCTGCGATCCCAACAGAACAAACATCAAGTGTGGTGTATGGTTGTGTTGGGTTTCTAGGTAAATGTTGAAAACCATTTTCCGTTATGAAGTCATGTTTTTTCTGTACTGTGGACTTGCCGGAAATGTAGCTAATTTTGTTACACTATCCTGTCAAAACTAGTGAGTTTAAACGATTGTGGAGCAAACCAAACTTAAAAAAAGTCACTGAAATTTGGGAATTAAGTTCTGCCCTGGGGCAATTGCCATTGTGCAATGAGTGGAAAATAAGGGCAGATTTGGGTTCTGCTGGGATTCCATTTTATTGACAGCATTTTGGGAAATCATTATGAAGAGGCAGGATGTTTCTCCTCCACCTATAAGAGTATCTCTATTCTGATGTCCCTACCCTGCCTCTATACACACACACACACACACGGCTGCAGGGGTGTTGGTGGTGACAGGTGTGTGTGTGTGTGTGTGTGTGTGCAGTTGGGTGTAGGGTGGGTGTTCCTCTGTTTCTGCAACAATCTTCCACCTAGTCGACTATCCGATGGGCTTAATTAAAATACATTAGAGGAAAATCAATTGATCCAAAAGAGATAAAAACATACCTGAAGGCCTATGCTGGTGCACCTTTAAGAAAAAATTGCTCCATCCTACAACATCTCTCCAGCCATAGATTCATCTGGTCCAATCTGCTTTTCCTGATTACACTAGTGGTTAATACTGGGTGTAATCCTGAGATTACTACTGCTTATGGTCCTGCTTTTTCATTTATCTCTTTGCTTCCTATTCTCTGCTTCAGGACCCCATGCCTCTTCCCCTATGTCATTGATACTGACATTGGCCATGACCTCTACTGTTCTCCCTCTAATTCACAATGTCCTGCAAATGCTCAGTGACATCTTTGACCCTGTCCCCAGGGAGGTGACCTACTATCCTGATGTTATGTCTGTAGCAGCAGTAACTCTATCTGTTAACCCTTATACTAGAATTCCCTATCAGTATTAATCTCCAATTCTGTTTTTTTCTCCCCACACACATCCAGCTGAGCCAATCATGGTGCCATGGATTTGGATCTCACTGTATATATATCCCTGAAAAACCATTACCCCCATTATCTCCTGCAATGCCTGCCTAGTGCGTTTTCTCTGTCTCGCAGTTCCCCATTCCCTTTCTGCCCATGTCGTCTTTACCTATGGTGTCGCCACCCCACCATATATTCTATGCATGAACATCTCATTTTGTGGATACCACACAGTATAATGAGATCTCTTCGAAGCATTATTGAGATCTTTTGGATGCTTGTATACTTTTTCCAGGTTTTTTTTCTTCTGCTACCAACACTTAATCCAGCCTTTAAGAGTTGTCACTTCCTTAATGACTGCAGCTTTTCCAGATCTTTTATCTGGTCATTCAGGCTGGACTTGAAGGCAGTTGGAACTCTCCTTGACAGACACTGAATTGGTCTCACACTCTCATCTGCTTCGAGTTGATATTCACCAGGAAGATATTCAAGACCCAATGTAAAAACGCTGTTGCAATCTTACCGTATCTGCTGAGCAGACAGTAGTTTAGTTCCCTGCAAAACTCTCCTGGCACATTAGGTTTCCTACTCCAATCTTTAGATTTAGATGAATGGATTTTGCTTAACACTACTGTCTGGAACTCTGAACCTTCGTTCTTCCCATTACTCTCAGCCTAGTTTGTCCTCTTGGCATGAGGATCATTCCATCTTAGAGCTTCAATCCTACTTCCAAGAACTTCATTTTCAAGTCAAAACCTTGAGTTACTATGTACATATCCATGAAGGTCATTCTGGTTCACGAAGAATCATTATCTGACACGTCATGCTGAAATGCTGCAGCCATCATTCTAGCAGTCACAAACCATTTATCATCTTCAGATCTGACAATGCTGACTTATTGTATGATGTAGAGGGATTTTTCAGAATCATCAGCTGATGTCTCTCCAGCAGCCATTCTTAGAGACTTGCTTTTTGCATCTTTCTAGCTGAACACTTGCGTGTGGAGTGATTCAGCTTCTTGAATTTAGAATAAATTCAAAGAACTGCAGGTGCTGGAAATCTGAAACAAAAACAGAAAATGCAGGGAAAACTCACCAAGCTGGCAGCAGTGACTCACTGGACTCAAAATGTTAACTCTGTTTTTCTCTCTGTAGATGTTGCCAGACTTGCTGAGTTTCTCCAGCAGTTTCAGTTGCTGCTTCCCTCACTCTGATATGGATGTGCCTGTGTTGGACTGGGATGGACAAGGTCAGAAGTCACACGACACCAGGTTATAGCCCACCTGGTTTATTTGAAATCATAAGCTTTTGGAGTGCTGCTCCTTCACCTGACAAAGGTGACTTCTGACCTTGTTCCTCACTCTGGACATACTTTCCTTTTCTTTAATGACATCCTTTGCAAAATTTATATCCTGTCCTCTTTCCTTGATCTCTCTGCTAGCTCTTCTGCAAATATTTCGTCTTTATCCCCCTCCCACCAATCTGTTTTCATTCAGCATGGACTGCCTCTCAACTTAATGCATTGTCTCATTTGTTCTCCGTTCAATACAGTGTAACTGATGATTGACTATCTCAGAGGTTCTGCACATGCCAGCAGCTTTCTTGATAGTAAGTTTCTCCACTCTCAGCTGTCCCACTCTCACCACTGTACTACGCGTACCTAAGACAATCCTATTTCTGATAAGGTCATCTTTCATTTGTCCAAACTCTCAGAGTTCAACTAGATGTATGAGTACTGTCTTTTTCTGTTGCGCCTTTTCTGCCACCATGATTCAAATGACACATATTTAATGGCACCACCGACAGCACACAAGGGCATTTACAGCAGAGATAGAGGTCATATAACTACACAAAGGGTATAATTGCATTTCTCTGAGCAGGTTGACACCTGACCCCAAGGCAGTCAGTCTAAGGTAGAGTGGAGCTTTTTGGAAGCTGAAATAGCTAGAAATTTTTTTGTTGCTGATACTCTACATTTCTGTATGGAACCATTTCAATTAGAGAAAATGATTGATCTCCTTCAGGGTAGATCACCTTACTCTAATGAAAATTTGGTACTTTTAGGAGGATTCATAAGAGTCAATTAGTTTGAATTCTAAAGAGGCATTTCAATGTATAACAAGAGGAATTTCCCAAAGAAGCCTAAAAAAACCCACTTGTTATTTGCCTTTTGACATAATAAACACCTGTATTCCCAAACTGGAATTTAAGGGTATGATCCAACTAAACATAATCTAACTATGTTGATTTGTGGCCCCTCCCTCACCAGTAAAAAATGTGATAACTGCCTCTTCCAATCCCAGGAATCTTGGGTCATCATGTAATTACATTTTTCTGTTATTTATGGCCAACTAATCATCAGTATGGTTTGCCATTTTATTGCTTTGATTGTTTTTGTGCATTTTGTATATTGTGAAAAATGGCTAATAGAATATTCCTGTTTAAGAAAAGAGGGAGGCAGAAGACGGGAAGCTTTAGGCCAATTATCCAGACCTCAGTTGTTAGTAAGATTTTAGAGTTCATTATTAAGGATAAGATTACAGAGTACTTAGAAGTGCATGGTAGAATAAGGCTGAGTCAGCACAGCTTCGCCAAGGGGAGGTCATGCCTGACAAATCTGTTAGAATTCTTTGAGGAGGTAATGAGCAAGTTAGACGAAGGAGACCCAGTGGACATGATCCATTTAGATTTCTAGAAGGCCTTTGACAAGGTCCTGCACAGGACACTACTAAATAAGGTAAGAGCCCATGGTGTTAGGGGCAAGGTACTGGCGTGGATAGAGGATTGGCTGACTGGCAGAAGGCAGTGGGTGGAGATAAAGGGGTCTTTTCAGGATGGCAGCTGGTGACTAGTGGAATTCCAGAGAGGTCAGTGTTGGGACTACAACTATTCACATTATACATTAATGATATGGTCAAAGGAACTGAGGGCATTGTTGCTAAGTTTGCAGATGACACAAAGATAGTGGAGGGACAGGAAGTGTTGAGGCAGGGAGGTTGCAAAGCGACTTGGATAGGCTAGGAGCATGGGCAAAGTGGCAGAAGGAATACAATGTGGGAGAATGTGAGATTATGTACTTTAATAGGAAGAATAGAGGGGTAGACTATTTTCTAAATGGGGGAAGGCTTTGGAAATATGAAGCACAAAGGGTCTTAAGAATTCTGGTTCAGAATTCTTTTAAGGTTAGCGTGCAGGTTCACTTAGCTTTTAGGAAGGCAAATGCAATGTTAGCATTCAATTTAAGAGAGCTAAAATACAAGATTAGGGATGTACTGTATAAAGTTCTGCTCATCTGCATTTAGAATATTGTAAGCAGTTTTGGGGCCCATACCTAAGGAAGGATGTGCTAGTATTGGAGGGGATCCAGAGTAGGTTTACAAGAATGATCCCAGGGATGAAGGGCTTGTCATTTGAGGAGCAGTTGAGGACTCTGGCTCTGTACTTCATGGAGGAAATACTCCAGAAGAGTGATGTCCGATCTCTTTGAAACATGCAGAATACCTAGAGGCCTGGATAGAGTGGACGTGAAGACAATGTTTCCATTAGTAAGAGAGACGAGAACCTGAGGGCACAATCTCAGAGTGAAGGGATGACTCTTTAGAACTGAGATGAAGAGGAATTCTTCAGCCAGAGAGAGCTGAATCTGTGGAACTCATTGCCACAAAAGGTTGTGGAGGCCAAGTCATTGGGTGTACTTAAGACAAAGTTAGATAGGTTATTGATTTAGTAAATGCATCAAAGATTATGAGGAGAAGGCAAGAGTGTGGGGTTGAGAAACATTTCAGCCATGATTGATTGGTGAGAGACTTGATGGGCTGAATGCCCTAATTCTGCTCCAATAATTTATAGTCTCATGGGATTAGTTGAAAATGGATAATGTGAAGCCTATCAATATTTTCTTTTATTTCCTCCTTTGCTATTTCAATATTAATCTATGGAATACATGTTTCACTGATTATTTATTTCTATGAAAATTCATGTCTAGTGTCACTATTTTTGTTCCTCTCTATCCTGGATACAATCTGGCCAAAATCTGGCAAACATTTGGAATC